TGCCTCAGCAGGGGTCTCTAATTCAGCACAGACAAAAGATTTTATGAAGTTCTCAATATAAATACCCAGAATACTCCTGGCACAGAAAGTACCTTCCCAGAGCCTGCACAATAGTCAGTTTTAGAGCACTAAATGTAATGAGTGGTTGAAATCTGTTGTGGATGGGGGCCAGAGTGAATCATGTAGACTCAAGTATAAAATCTGTACTGAAACTAGACATTATATAAGTTTGACAAGAGCTAATGAGTATGCTCGTATGTGATTTTGTTAAAACTTCGTGTCAGCCTCTAATTGTCTTTACACACATTAGTCAGCTTATCCTCACGCTGTCCCCCGTGGGATATGTTACTGCAATAGCACGCTCTTACAACCCACAGGGAAGGGAAAGCAAGTATTTTAGTGATTGCAGATTGCCTGGTTAAAAAGCACTGACTTAATGTATTTTAAAAGTTGTCTTATCACGGAGCCCTCTCAGTCATCTCTGCTGGAGATGTGGTTTGGAGTTGGGGCACCTAACCTGCCAGCATCCCCAGGCCTGAAGGTCCCCATGTGCTCAGTGCATGCAGGAGCTGTGCTGTGTTGTCCTGGGTGGGCAGGAGAAGGGGAACTGTTGCTCTACCACTACCCGAGTCCAGGGCACTTTAAACCTCACTGGGGAGTTTTTGGTATTCTGAGAAGAAGCCTGGGTGATTTTTTTTTTCTATTTTATCACAATTTGGGATTTACAATTCAGTTTTTGTGGAAAAACAGCTTTGTTTCATGTTTAAGGTTGTGAAAATGTTCTGCCGTGTTCATGGTTTGCTCTAAAATCAATGTTACAATGGCATTTCACAGGGAGCCCTTCCAGCTAGGCTGAGCCAATTGAGGAGTAGGGCTGGAAGAGGATTAGAAGCGTTTCCTTTCTTGTTAGCACCAGGACTTCTGAGGAATTATTTTGAACAACGTGTGCCAATATGACAGCAATTAGGTCAAGCTATAAAAGTGAAAATTTGAGTTAATAGTAGATAAAAACTGGTAATAAGATGTACTGGGCTGTGGAATAGTCTATCCGTGGAAGCCATTCTGCATGCAGTTTTAGAGCTCAATTAAAATACTTCCATATTGGCAGAGGGAAGATCTATTCTTTTGATAATCTGACAGAGCATCTCTAATTCTTTCACCTTGGGTATATTAATACTACACATAATTAAAATCGGATCATGATAAATTAACTAATTTGCCCTTAGAGTGATCAAAGGCCCTTTCACCCTCAGGGCTTGTTGGAGCTGCCACTCCCCTCCACACTCCATTTTAATCGTAAGTCTGAAATGTTTATTGGAAAAAGAAGTATTTCCAGGAATTCCGCTCTGAAAGTGGCTGGCTCCTAAAGCTAATGAAGTGTAAGGATGCCCTCTGCTGAGCGTGTGCTCAGGAGTGTTGTTGGGAAACAGCCCTGTCTCCTGCTGGGTACAGAAAGCACCTCCCAGGCAGCTGGCTGCCAGGACAAGGTGACCATTCCAGCACGCATCGTGAATCGAACCTGTAGTACCACCAGGATTTGATGAAGAGTAAGCACTGAGGAAATTAACTGGTCGAAGTTTAAAAGAAAACAAAGAGAAACCAGTAACTCAACTGTCAACTAACTTTCCAAAGAAGGATGTAGCACAATTTTGGAGTTTAAGCATCTGGAGGTGTTCAGAAATTCCCTCAAGTGGTGAAGGAAAACTGATGTTTAGAGGTCCTAGATACTTTATCAATAATATATATCACTGTTTCTATGGTATGCTTTTTCAGGCCTTCTAATGGTGTTCAGAAGCCATCTTGAAATGAAGCTGTGCACATCATTTTTCTTATGTGATATTTCAAAATTTTGCTTTTTGCTGTGCGTTAAGCCTATGTATGATTTAGTTTTTGTAACCATTCAGAAAAGGTTAAAAAAAAAAAAAGTGCATCCCCAATAACAGATGTGAAGTCTTCAAGAGGAATCCCATGTCACTTAATTTGCTTCTGGAAAGATTTGGGAATAACTAAGGAACAGAGAGCTAATCTTGCGCTGCCAGTTTAAGTTAGATCAACGTTTCTTATTTCTTCCTTGTAAGTTAAAGCCGAGTCAGGACTTCTTTGCATCTCAAACTGTTGGAGGAGGCTTAGCACCGTCTTAACTCCCTCTACGGTGTCTTTCCTGTCAGACTGCTGCTAACTTAAACTCAGATGTACGCGCTGTGACAAGCAGTGGTATCTCGATGAGGCCTATAGTGAGGTTTTTGTCATTGAATTAACTGTATAAATAATTCAGCATGCCTGAGGAAATCTTGAAGATGACAACTTCTGAAATATATATTAAAAACAAAGTCCTGAATTCTAATTAAAATTCATGCTTATGGCAGTTTTCTCTAATAGAAGGTACATTTTTTTCTAGCCTCGATTTTAATCAACTGAGTCTAATGCAACTAAGTGATTGCACAACAGTTCATTAATTTCATGTTTTGTGGTACAGTGTGGCTGGAGGAGTGGCCTGAGTGGAACCTCATGCAGTTCAACAAAAACTGTGAAGTGCTGCACTGGGAACCAGCAGCCCTGTTCTGTAGTGCATAGAGGGGCACCGCACTGCAAAGCACCTTTTCAGTAAAGGCCATTGGACACAAGGTCAGATGTGAGCCAGCAAGGTGCTCTTGAAGCAACCAAAGCCAATGGTGTCCTGGGCTGGGTAGGCTCAAGATCACAATTTTCTGTGATTGCAGAACAAAGGCATTACTGAAGGTTTTTCAGTGTATGAAGGAGGTTTCTCACACTGAGACTCACCTTGAGAAAGTTTGCAGCAATATATTTAAAATGGGATAATGACCCAAACAAGTAGATCATGTGTATATTTACGTTATAATACATGAAATATTCCTCTAAGTATATGAAATTGTGCAAGTATGAATTCCCATAATGCATGAAAACCTTCCTGCGTGAAACAGCTCACGTGCAGGTTTCTCCCTGGTATGGAATGGAGATGTTTTTAGCCTCCCAGGTCCTGAACTGGCAATTCAAAGCAGTGTGATTGCCTGCTTGATTGTTTGTGAGATAACAGTAAGATTGGCAGTGACAGGGTAATTTACTGAAGATTGCAATGTCAGGCTATATCCAAGGGGGCTTGCTAGCATAAAGATGTGATTCTCATGACTGACAGGACACTGAGATTGATATGGCAATTGAAAGTTCATGGTGTCGTCAGAAGTGTTCGGTCACAGCAGCCCATAATCTGCTGCGTGATGAGGTCATTACAGACATAACACACTCACCTATAATAACAGGTGTAGCAAAAATACGATGCAGCTGTAACAGCTAAATGTAAATTTGTCAGAAAGAGTAATTTATATCCTCTATTTTGTTTCTGCTGTTACTGCTGATAGGATTCTCTTCACTGAGAGTCGTCTGAATAAAAGAACTGAGTGGACTAAATAGTGGACAGCTTTAAGTTCATAGTTTTAGAAGTGCCACAAACCAAGAAAAGAGAAGAATGGCAAGAAAAAAATTCTCAGAGCTTAACAGAGAAATCGCCCTGAGTTATAATCTGAGGCTGATGGGGTCTTCACAACGATTGCATACAACAGGGGGAAAACAGACTGCAGCAAAATAAAAATAAAGATATGTACCGCCATGTTGGAAGGGATTTCAAGATGAATGGGGCTCCTAATGTGAATAGGCGACTGACCTTAAAGAAATCTATAGCTTTTACAACAAGATAGTTTGTCTAACTTAAGTTTCCTTAGTGGGCTGAATGAAAAAATTGTCAGTATACCTTGGCAATTTTGTTCTTAAATCAGAATCAGTTGTTTCGGGCACAAACAATCTGCTGGAAATTCGGGTTAATTGTAAAATAAGAAAGTTTCTTATAGCTGATTGTTGTTTTTTTCCCCTTCCAGTTGTCACTCTAATGTAGTGCTGGTCTGCTTGGAAGATCTTGAAAATAAATGAGTTGTGATCTTTCTCTAATCTACATCTGTCAGCTGACCTTCTGGAATGGTTTTTCTTGTGTCTGTGATGCACTGCGTGCCCGGGCTGTATCTGGACTCAGCAAATGAGACTGATGTGCCTTGCAGTGTCTCTGAAAGTTTACAGACTTGCAGATTGGATGCCTGATTTTTGTGATTTCTCAAAAGTAGATGAATGAATGTTTCTAAATTCTCACAGATAATAATACTTCAAAGTAAACAGTTATTAATTTACTAAGCTATTAAGTAGAACCCCATTAAGAGAAAACATTTAATTTAAATAATGACACAAAGGGAAGGGATGATGCTGGAATTTGTTACCATATGTGATAAAAATAATTTTGATTCATCTGCCTATGCAGATTGGTATCCCTATTCAGGATTGCATTTCAGTTCCCAGTGGTTAGATTATAATTATTTTTAAAAATATTTCTTAACAAATATTCTTCATGGACAAAGTAATGTGTACTATGATGGCTGAGCCCACTGGTTTTGTGGCTGATACCCCAAGCACATGGCCAAGTTCTCATTCAGATATTTATGAGAGGTGAGTTGTAGCAGAATTCCCTATAAATTACCAAAGTGGGTGCAGCATAATTTTTGTTTTCATTAGGCAAGGATAACAATAACTTGTTTCTCCTTCCCTCATCTCCCAAGATGGAACAAATGAAATTAAATGTCATAATTCCTAGGCCAGCAAGTAAATCAAAAACTTTGTAAAGCAATCATTTGCAGAGATTAAAAAAAAATCCTTTACTCCTTCCACTATTCATTTTTCCTTATTTCGACTCTTAATGGATTTCTTTGGGCTTGATTCTCCTCTAACTCAGGTGTAAATTAACTTTAATGATGTTTAACTAATATACTTTATGGAAGTCTCATCTCTGTTGTATTTCTGGTTCAGTTACCAGTTTTCTGGCACAGAGATGCTATGAAGGGTGTGCATTAACTTTTTCTCCCAGTGACTTGAGATGTCCATTAGATTTTTTTGCTTGATAGCACTGTGCAGCTGAATGAATCTTGATGATTCTTGCCTTTCAGATGGCTTGGTTGACTGCCTAGACCCAGATTGCTGCCTCCAGTCTACTTGTCAAAACAGCCTGCTCTGCCGGGGTTCCCGTGATCCTCTTGACATCATACAACAGAGCCATTCTGGTTCACCAGCTGTGAAGTCATTCTATGATCGAATCAAGCTCTTAGTGGGGAAGGACAGCACTCATATCATTCCAGGAGAAAATCCCTTCAACAGCAGGTAGCAAGCTATAAATATGACATTTCATCTATGTGGTTGCACTGTATGGGAAAATTTCCCCCAGAGCTTTTGTTCATCTTTTTACATGAGATGCTGCTTTCAGGTTCTTCCTGTGTTTCCATCTCAGCAATCAATTCCATTGAGGGTACTCTGTTGCAATTTATATTATTGCTTTTGTTTCATAATACTTGAGTTTTATTTGCATTTTAACACACTGGCAACATCTAGAAGCAGGTTTCTTCCACTCAGCAAGAGCTGCTGAGCTTTATCATTTATAAAGACTGCAGTGTACAAGAATGGAAAGTGCACTCTTGTTGTGAGTTTGAAGAGATCTAAATAATGCTATAATATAGTCTTAATTGTAATTACTAACAAAATTAAATTTAATTAAAAAAAAAAAAAAAAACAGCTGAAAACACCCATCTTACTTAATTTCAAGCAGTTAACTTAGAAATAATCAAGCTATTCATGTATGAATGTTCTAAGAATTACAAATCTAGCCTGAACAGGAGCTGGCTACTTCAGAGCTGAGACTCTTTTGAAAAAATCCTGTTAGAAATTTTAAATTCATTAAGTTTTTAGTGTCCTGAGTTGCAGGGGTCTCAGTTCTGTTTTATTTGCACCTCACATATTTTAGTATCTCCTTACATGTGGCCTCTTAAAAGACTACAAAAAAATTCTGTGGTATACATTACTATAAATGAACACAGTGCTTCATACAAGTGTGGATAGTACAGTTAGAAATAGACATCAGAGCATCCTGAGCATTTCAGAATAACAGAAGAGGCCTGAAAACAACCCTGGTATTACTGGTGGAAATGAATATGTACCTCTGATATGTACACCACTTTAGAAATACATGAATAGGGGATAATGCAGGCCTTCCAGCTGTCCCAAAACTGAACTAAATTTGTCCATTTTTGGCAAAACACAAACCACTTCAATCCCCTCATCCCACAGGTTGGCCAGGGTCCAGGAATCTTTGCTGTCAGGTCTCTGTTTCTGTCGGTGTGCCTGAAGCCTGCTAAGGGTTGTGCGCAGCTCCAGCCCTGCCAGCGCAAAGCCGGCTTGGAAATGGGCCTTTTTGTTTTCTGTCTCTGTATAGCTACCAGTCAGAGGTGGTGGACTATGCCAGAAGTGCCTAGTGCTAGTTAGTATAGAATACTTTACACCTGCAAAGCTCAGTGCTGTGGTCCTTCTTGCAAGGCGCTTCTCCTTTTCATCTCTTTTTCTCGTGCATCTTCCTTTTCTCACCAAGCTGCCTCTGTCAGGATTGGGAAGTGGGAGGAAGGGAGCCAGGAGAAGGAGTATCCTCTCCAGCTATGAGAGCAGGGAGAAAGGCAGGAAGAGGCAACTGTGCCAGGGAGCAGCAGAGCAGGGAGGAGTGGGGCTGCTGTTTCCAGGAGGCTGGAATCCAGCAGTATGTGCCTGCTGCATGCTCTCCAGCAGCGAAGTGCTCTCAAAAGAGAAGAAGTCTGACTGTGCCCAATTGTACAGGAATGGGCAGTCTTCATTCCCTTTAGTTTAAGCAAAGTGGGTAGCCTGGTGGCTAAGAAAACCATTTATTCTGCCGGTGCATAAAGCGGGCCTTGTGTCAAATCCCTTCTGCAACTGACAAAGTGAAAAGCAAGGATTACAGATCAGGAAGCAGTGCACAGTGTACAGAGGTCAGTCACTCCCTAAGATGAAGGTTCATGGACCGTAATTTGGAAAATCATTTGTATAAAATGGAGATACATTCATTACACCATATTTTTAAAGTGTACGAGGCGTCCACAGATGGTGTTGTAGCCAGGCAGGGTATTCTGAAAAGTGATGGGTCATCACTGCTCTGGGACTTCAGGGTCACAGCTCTGGTTCAGCTGAATGTGAGGTGGCAAAGCCTCTGCAAGGCCTCATTAGACAGTTGCATCTGAGGTACAACCCAAGGGAAGGCATCAAGTCCGATTCCATCTTTACAAGCCTCAACGCATAGGTACACATTTTCTTCATTTAAGTAAACAGAGAGAGCTGGGTGATCCTGTACTATCTTCAGGTTCTAATAAACCTTGAAGCAAATTGAATTTAGAGTAAATGAAGCACATGTGTTCCACCGCTCGGTTTATAAAGACTGTAAATGTTTTCATAACTAACTTTATTACCTTTCATTATTTTCTTTTCAAGTCTTGTGTCTCTTATAAGAGGCCAAGTGGTGACTACAGATGGAACGCCTCTAGTTGGGGTCAACGTGTCCTTTGTCAAGTATCCAAAGTATGGCTATACCATCACTCGTCAGGATGGCATGTGAGTTTGCTTCTTTCATTGAGTACCTATTATTTTATGTAGTATCTCTGCTGATTAACAGATGGTGCAATCTATTGGAGCCATGTGGTACCATGCATTTCATTCCTCCCAGGGCAAAGAGCTAATAAGTAAACACAAAAGTAATTTTTCACATGGCATTTTGAATGCTAAATGAAAGTAAATATGAAAAGGCTGACTTCTGATAATGATGTGTTAGCAGTCACACTCACTTCAAATAAATTGCTCTGTATCTATGAAAACATTTGTGGACTACAGTAATACCCAGCTGAGAGCAGAAATATTTTAGCTTAAAATGCAAGGCAGAAGAATGCTGCTGGGGAAAAAGGAAAGAAGAAAAGTTGCATCATTTTAGTATAATATATTTTGTTAAAAGTCCCTGTCTGTCTCTCTCTCTCTCTCTTTTTGAAGATCTGCTAGATTTTGAGTTTCTTCAGGGGTAGAATATGCTCAAAAGATTCTAATTGACTGTATTTAGACATTCTCCTGCTGTGCAAAGATGAGCTTTTTCCCCTTTGTATCATTTGATTTGAAATGCACACAATTTCAGAAAAATAAAAACTGACGTGTCGTGGTTTATCTGGCTTACTGGCTGTGGTAACTAAAACAGTATGTTTACAACACATACATTGTAAACGTTTGCCATTTTTTCTTTCATACAAAGAGTTGAATTACTTAATATGAATCAGTTGAACTACAGACTATTTCACGTCCACATTCCAGAGTATTTTAGTGTTAGAATTACAGCATAACATTATTGATTTCAGTGGTTTAATGCAACATCAGTATGTGTGCTGAACTCATATTTAGATCTAAATAAATTATCTAAATCATTGAGTAATTTGTTACATTACTATTTACACGAAACAGCTGATAATCAGTTCTGTTGTCAGAACAACCTTGAATTATTTCATGCCTTTAGGAAAGATTTCAGAACTCCTGCAGAGCTCCACGTTTCTGCTGTGATTTTGCAGAGGCTTGGGAGTAAATATCTAATCTCTATGAAAAATGATAGAAACAGTAATTCTGGATACAGTAATTCTTATCACATTTGTTGAACAGAAACAGCTAAAGTTTTCATTATTATTCTTACTGCCATCCGTCTCATTGCTTTTCTTGATGGACAGCATCTGTTAGGAAAGGAATAATTCAGTGCCCAGCCCAGTGTTAACTTGTTTTCACTGCTGGTTCTACGGATATGGGGGACATGCAGTAATAAATGTACTGGTTTGTTCTTTTTTTGGAAATTATTTTAATGCAGATTTTGTAATGTATCAGAACATTTGTCCAGATGGCTACAAATTGCTGCTTGCCTTGACTGTGTTTCAGTCGGTCATTTTGCTGCCAGAGATTCACATCCAATGACAGATAATTTGAAACAGGACACTTAAAACATATATATTGCTGTGACATTCTGTTAGCCAAGATTGTTATTACTTGGATCATTCAGTCTCATTGCCTCTAAAGCCTGCCTGTTTTTTTAGGTTTGACTTGGTTGCGAATGGTGGATCATCCCTAACTTTGCACTTTGAACGGGCCCCATTTATGACTCAGGAAAGAACAGTATGGCTGCCTTGGAACAGCTTCTATGCCATGGACACACTTGTAATGAAGACAGAGGAGAACTCCATTCCCAGCTGTGATCTCAGTGGCTTTGTCAGACCTGATCCAGTCATCATTTCATCACCACTGTCAACTTTCTTCAGTGATGCTCCTGGCCGAAATCCCATTGTACCAGAAACCCAGGTAAGAACAGAGGGAAAGATACAGAAATTGGTGGTCAGGTGCTACTGTTGACATAAGCGCTTGCCACAACCACCATTTGTCTCCTGGAGTTGCTACAGCAAAAAGCTCTGTAGAGTTGCATTCATTCTGACAGATAACAAGTTTTCTAATGAAGACTGTAGTAGATATCCTATGTTTTTGTCACCCAGACTCGTTTGTCTTTGACTACCTTGCACCTTCTCATTATCGCACAGTATATTTCTGTATTTCAATTGAAAACTTACATGTTTCAAGAGAATTTTACAGAGGCTTTGCTGTATGCTATTAAGCACAGTCCCAATTTCTTGTATGCTGTTTAGGACAAAGGAAAACTTCAGTTGTTTTCACTTCTCTACTCAGTTAATATTCACTTTGTATGAATTGCTAGTAGAAATTGCAGGTTCCTTTAGCTGTATCTTCTTCTATTCCCCTTGCACATAACTTACAGTAAAACTGTTTGTTCTTATTTTGCTGTTGCAGTGGATTCTTACAAATAAATGTGTTTGCAGACAGCAAATAATATTTTCACCAGAAACATCAGCTGAACTCTGTCACTGCATTGAGTTGAAGATACTCATTACCAGTAGTAGAAAGTCATTAGGTCATAGGAATATTATTAGCTTAGAATAGTATCTGCTATTCTAAGAAAACAAAAAATTAAAAAAAAAAGGCACCAAAGCAGTAATGTAAAATGTTTGATCTTTTTCATATTCAGGTTCTTCATGAAGAAATGGAGATCCCCGGCACAAGTATAAAGCTGATCTACCTGAGTTCCCGTACTGCTGGATATAAATCCTTACTTAAGATCATCATGACTCAGTCACTTGTGCCACTGAATCTAATCAAAGTTCATTTGATGGTAGCAGTAGAAGGGCATCTATTTCAAAAATCATTTCAGGCATCCCCCAACTTGGCTTATACATTTATCTGGGACAAAACAGATGCATATGGTCAGAAGGTTTATGGGTTGTCAGATGCTGTAGGTAAGTCAGTATATACAAGCTCAGTAGCTTTCCAAACACTTACAATTTTGTGTAAGAAAGCTGCAAAGATTTTCTGTGAGAAGCAGATATAAACTAAGCAGTTCTTGTCTTCCTTACACATTTTACTCGTGCATCATGTTCCTTTTATGTATTGAGGAGCACATTCAGAGGGTCCAGGCTACCACTGTGTCTTTGTTGCCTAAACAGCAGCTCACTTAGAAGTTTTAGATCAGCCAATGGAATAAGCTGGTCGCAGGGACTGAGGTGAAATGTAGTCTATCGCTGTGCCTTTATTTTCTTTCAGTTAACAAATAAATCTTGTGTTTCAAGTGACTGGCATTCTCCAGTGCTTTTGGCATCTCCTGCATGCTATTATTACAGCCTCTTGTAGAATATTTGAAATGAAATAGTTCTCCTAATGTTGTTCAATCTAGCAGTACTACAGCTCCTTTTAGTTCCTTTATTTATAGATCTTGGTTCTAGTGGGTGGGAAAATGGGTGAACATCACAATGTTTATAAGTTTTCATTTTCGTTTGAATATTGAGAAAGATTTTGCTGTACCGCTGCTAAAAATGTGTATTGGAGTTGTGCCAACGTAGAATGAAAAATTTGCTTAAATCGTTGTTCTCCATATTTTTCTAAAATCTTTTTTGCTACAGTTTCTTTCTTATATTCTTGCATGAAATATTGCTTTCCTGAGTAATGCTTACAATGTCTGTGAGTGCTTGAAGCACACAGTTGTCACTGCTCCTTGGTGTATGGTGTGGAAAATGAACACAATACACGCTGTGAACATCCGGCAAATTAAGAATTCGATCTTGTCCTGTTATCTGATGGGAGAATGTTATTAGTATCATTTTTTTAATTCTGTTTCCAAAGCGGTCACTTCCCAAAGCCAGCTGTTCAATAAAAGGGATCTGCTCCCTGCAGAGTACGTGTGAATGCTTAAAATTTGTGTTTAGTGAAAGATCTGAATTTAATATTGTAGATGAAAAGAGGGAAATGTAATCACGTCATCTTTTTGAGGTTACTGGGGACTGGAATGATGGCCCATTGAATGTGCCTTGGACATTTAATTCAGTGTTCAGCAGGTATATGAGATTTTTTTATTTTTTCATTTTTTTTCAGTTTCTGTGGGTTTTGAATATGAGACTTGTCCCAGTTTGATTCTGTGGGAGAAAAGGACCGCGCTACTGCAAGGATTTGAACTAGATCCTTCAAATCTAGGAGGATGGTCTTTGGATAAACACCATGTACTTAATGTCAAGAGTGGTAAGTCAGTTAGTTCCACATGTTTTCTGGGCTATATGGAGTTCTGACTGTGAATGCTTCTTGTTTATATTATCTTTACCCTTTGAAAAATGCAATTTCTTCACTCTTTTTGTTTCATCTTTAGCTTAGTAAGGAATGGGACATTTTAATTGTCAGAAAAGTTCTGTATAATTTCAACAGATTTTTTACCCTCCTGCCAAGCATTGTTTTCTAGAAGTCCAGATCTTCATCCTCTGTTCAGTTGTTCATTTATTCCCCTGTAATTAGTTTCTGTCTTCCTTCCGTGTTCTTTTTATGTTAACCATATCCATTCCCAGTCCTCTTTGTTTGTCCTTTTCCATTATAATCTGAGGTAGGGTTTCAAAGGAGTACGAGACTCTTGTTAAGATACTGATTCTCGTCTTTTCCTTTGGACACCTGTTGTGGTTTTTTTCCTCACTTTAAGTATCCTAAAATGAGTATTCTTAGACGTCACATTTTCTCAAAGACTGCTAAGGAGTTGAATGCTTGGTAATACACATTTTGTTTCATTCCTGTAGAGGGTTTTCTGCAGCTTTCCTGCTCTTTCTTGCAGGAATGCTCTGCATCAGCAACTTGCACAATATATTATTGTCCAAGAAATCTGAAGGAGCATTCAGAACAAGCAAGATCAGGCTATTCAAACACATTTATAAGTGCAGCAGATCAAATGCTTCTGAGATGGCCATTCAGATAGAGCATGATATTCACTGGCGACAACAGTAATGGCAGCTATACTTGTCCCTGGGGAGCCAGTTACTTTATGTTAAGAGTCACACAGCAGTATTTCCAAAGGAGCAATAAATGCGGCTAACTGTTTCCAGCCAGATTTCTATAATCTTTGACGACACTGAAAATGCCCATTTTGACAGAATGCACTCCTTTCTTGGAACAGATATGTACTTTTAGAATAATATGTTTAAAAGAGAAAACCCATCTTAAAGGCCTTTCTGGAAACCTAATAAGGAACTTACCACTAGCTCCCCTCTTGTCTTTCATTAGTGATCATAGGAGCTCTTCCAGGAGTTGCGTCTTTAATTTTCTGCACTTTCCTCTTTTCTGTCATCTCCATTTGTGCACGGAAAAACTGAGAGGTGGACAGAGAAGAGTAAAGTTAATAAAAATTCCAAACAAAATGCAACACAAGAAACCGGACTCAGAGGATCAGGGTGCACTAACAAGTGTGTATGTCCTCTGTGCTGTTTGCTTCCTCACTCCATAGTTATTAAAACTGCCTGAACCACTGTGCCACCCTGTAGGGATGTAGGATGACATTTTCTTTCATAATGAAGACCAAAGTACTGTGGGTTTAAGCTTGGATTTGTGTTTGTAGCTGTATATGTGTGTGTTTTTAACAGAGAATCCTCATTACACCTTTATTGTTTACTCCTGCAGACCTATTTCACTGTTTTTGCACTGCTGGAGAACCAAGCATTGAAATCATATCACTGTTCAGACCTTAACAGCAGCTGCTGAAAGGAGAACTACCTGAAGTCACCTGTAACAAATGACTGTAATAACCACTTCTCCTCCTGTCTGTTATTAGGTATATTGCACAAAGGCAATGGAGAAAATCAGTTTCTAAATCAGCAGCCAGCTGTGATAACCAGCATTATGGGGAATGGGCGCCGAAGAAGCATATCCTGTCCTAGCTGCAATGGTCTTGCAGAAGGAAATAAGCTTTTGGCCCCTGTAGCACTGGCAGTGGGAATTGATGGAAGTCTCTTTGTTGGAGATTTTAATTACATTCGGCGTATCTTCCCATCCAGGAATGTTACTAGCATACTGGAGCTGAGGTAGGTGTTGGGACTCCGATTCCGTAGCCTGTGCTTAAATCAGCCTTTACCATTGTTTTTATAATTTTGTAAAACATTATCACTGTCAACCTATTCAAATTCCAGTGGAGAAATGGGGCACAGAAATGCAGAGTTCAAAGTCTATAGCTAATCAGAGCAATGCTTATAGGGAAGGATGAAAAAACCATAGTGCACACCATCTTACTCTCTCCTGGTGGTGATTATTTGAACACAGTCTTCTTTCATTTGTGTATGTAATTTAGTTTTATTTGAAAAATGCAGAACTGACTGCCCTTAGGTATTGAGCCACAGTGATAAATAAAGAATTAACACTCTTAGGAGATTAGAAAGGAGGTTTTCACATCAATGATTTTGAGATCCACTTTCCCACTTCTTTCCCTTTCTTGTAGGTTTAGTTCTGTAGGTTGGCTAGTACAGTAGAAGTTGACATACAGAGTCACTTTGCACCATCAGAATTCTTTCTAAAATCATATCTCTATTCCTCTCAAAACATTGAGATTTTGGCACTTTTCAGGGAGGGCATGAGTGTAGAGTGTACCACTTCACCCATTTCTGTTTCATCTCCTTTTTTCGTTCCTCTGGTAGAAGGAAGAGCTATTGCTTCCAACCATAACTCATGTAACTGTTCTTTATTGTTGATACACTACTGAGTATTCGGCAGAAAGCAAATGAGAAGTGGCTTGCATTGGCTGTCCTCTGATACTTCTGCAACCCGCTCAGGCAGTAGGATCAGTGCTCTTGTAAATAACTGCAAAGCACATTGATTGGATTTAAGTCATTAGCCTTTTTTTTTTTTTTTTAATAATATGAGCAATAACCAATACCTCTTCTTCTACTGTGCTTTTATTTTTTAATTAGTGGGGAAAAATGCAAAGTTAAAGAGCTGTTAGGGAACAGGAGGCCTAGCTCTATTTCACACCTCTCTCCCATTCATGTCATTCTGTTGATGTCCCTGTTGTGAATTCTGATTTATATAAGAGAAAAGAATCAGACTTGGGCCAAATCAACTCTGAGATCACTGACACCTGCCTACACACCATCAGGCTGACTTACTCTCCAGAGGTTTTAAAAAAGTACAGGTTAAAACAAGTAATAGATCATCCAGTGCTTTCTGATTGGCAGCTGGGGATGGACCACAAGAGGTAGCTGGTGTGGCTGTATGACCTGCTATAAACATTTCTATCAGCATACACTATAGTTCTGCATTACATAGAACATGCTGATGTTTGGGTTTTTTTTCAACTAGTCCAGTTCCGCCTAGCTGTCTGGTGAATATGACTACAGCATTATAGGTGAAGAGAAACATTTTCAAACTAGCATAGTTACTGGAAGGCATTTATGTCCATCTCACCTCCAAATGTCAGTCACTGACACAGTTTCTGAGCAGTTTCTGCAGGTCTGCAGCATTGCTAGTCTGAGAACTTTGGTTTCCACCTAGGCAGGAGACAGCTCAGACTTTTCAGAATGTGTGAGGGATTATAGGAAAGATATCAGTAAAGATGAAGATGCCTATCTTCCATTTCTGCTGTTGTCCATTTTCTCTTTTCTTTTATGAAAATCTGTTTTCCACAGTGTAGTTTCTTTAGCTTCTTCTACAACTATTAGCAATGAGCAGTGAATCTGTTACGTTTTGAGTACCTGTTGCACAGCTGCAAATGACTTGGCACCCAAGCTTTTAGGATCTATGGTGGTATTTTTACCCCTTGTAGAGAATTCGGTAGGGTCCATTCCAGCAATCATGTACAGAAGTAGTTGTGACTCAGTGGCCGTATTAAATTCTGACTCAAATGGCTTTAATCCCCCAGCTCTTAGGCATTTAGGTATAAACTGCAGTGAGTCTGCAGCAAGTATCAAATATAACATGCAAATAGTGCTTTCATAACTATTTCAACAAAGTATATTCAACAATGAACATTGGTACTGCCAGCTGGGGGCTGTGCCTTGAGTTCTGCAGGAGTCATGCACCTTGCTCCTTTTTTCAAAGTGTATTCCTAAAAAGAAATGATAAACACAGTGCAGCACTGTGGTGTGGAGAATGTATTGACTTCCTGGAAGCAAAAGATTCTTTTGGCTTGTTTCTAGAAAGTAGACTAGGCATCAGTTAATGCTACGTATCTCCTTTGTACAGTATTTTACTGCTCACTTAAAAGATTTGGTTTTTTTAACCTAATATTTGCTTTGATTGACTTAAATAGAATCTAGATAAGATGCTATAAAGTCTCATCCAAACTTGTCTTAAGTGCTTTTTTAGAGTCTGGGGGAATAGAAAAAAAACCTGTGTAATAGAAATTTGTTTAGAAATAGCCTGCTAGAAAACTGTTTTGAGGAAAGAAGTTGCCCATAGCTGGCAGACAATATCCTAATCCCCGTGCTTCCCCATTCCCACGTTTATATTAAGAAAACTGCCAGTTCCTCTCCCTCTCAGCCCACGAGCTGCGTATATTTCCATTTGAAAACTCTTCCAGTCCTCAAGAAAGCTTTCTGCAGCGTATATGGGGGTGGGGGATGAGGGAAGGGGTATCATACCAGGGAACTAGTTGGCAAGTGGATTCTTCAGGCATTCTTCATCTGTAAACAAAGATAAGGCTAGTGCTGAATAGAGGTACCTTCTCCTATGTCCTTTTGTAAAATAAAACAAATACTATGTTTGCTTTACCATCTATTCTTCAGCTAACTGTTTGTTCTTTTTCCTTCTGTTCCCTTTCTATAAAGAAATAAAGAGTTTAAACATAGGTAAGACATGAGCTCTTTCCCATATAATTTGATATGGTTTGTTTGCTTCATTGTGTTTGCTTTTTGTGTTGTGCTTCTTGTGTAATGTTATGTTCTTCATGTACCATATATAGAAACATTTTATGTGCTAATTGTGTGTTATGAATATGATAAGCATTAGCAATTACAAAATGTAGTCAAAAAAGCAACAAAACAAGTTATGACAGTAATTAGAAACTTATAGTAGAATGCAAGTATAATGAACCCCAAGCTAACTTCTACATAATCATTTCTCCCCGCTGTCTATAACTGGTCCAAATGGTTGAGACAAACTATGAGAGCAGTTCTGCAAATGCCAGAAAGTTTCACAAAAGCACCGATGACTGGAAATAGGTCAAAAATGCACTTTCTGGACATCAGCGACTCCCTGAACAACGTCCTTACTTATAAGTTAGTTTCTGTGTCGTTCACTGAATACATTCAACAGCTGGTTGTGTGAAATCACTAGAAGGAATCACTGTATGATTTACAAGGGAGGAGTTACATTTCTGGAGGAGTACAGATTTTTCCTCTTGCCTCACGTGAGCATTAGCCTTTCTGGATGGGAGCAGCAGAGCAGCATAGAAAATACTTACGCCTTCTTCAGTGCCATACGCCTTCACCCTGCATAATACCAAGGGCAAGAACAAGAGAAGCTGTTAAAAGTTCTTCCGTACTGTTCTGTCCATGACTTTTTTAAAGGTATTCTTTGGTATCCTTCCATTTCTGCTACGTAAGTTAGATACAGAAGATAGTCTGACTAAATAATGTAATTTCCTGTTCACAATGTGTTTTGGTATATGGAGTCTAACTCCACTGAATTCTTTTATTTAGATGAATTCACAATTTGCTAATGGTTATTGGTGATGCTGGAGGCTTCTCATTTGCAACTGTAAGCTTAGTTAATTCTTCAGGTGCGTAAAGATTTGCTCTGAGCAGCTTTTCTTTTTTGGTTATATTTCAAGAAAAGCTGTTGTAACACTGTTTATGCATGTATGAGAAGAGCAGCAACCAGGAGCTGGTGCTGCCTGTACTTGCTATCAGGCTCCAGGCTCCCTGGAAGATGAAGTAAGGTTGCAGATTGTAACTACTATGCACACTAGGGAAGACTGGAGGAAGAGAGGCTTCTGGGCAATATCAGATGTTATGGAAAGTATTTTAAAGCAAGGTATATTCCTTCATTTCCTATAATTCAAATAAAAGATTGAAATGGTGCTGAGAAAAAAGACGCAGAAGGTGTTTAGTTGCTTAGAGGCCAGTTTGAGAACTATGCACTGTTCATTTATAAAATACATCCCTGTTTGAGGTAATACTTTCTTCAGTTTTTCTGCGACTGTGGACTCACGCCCACCAGTTGTCTTGTGCCAGAATTGTTCAAATGTGTTTTGTGGAGCATCTTCCACTGCCTGTTCCCTTACCAGGCTCAGGAGCAAAAGTGAATAGGCAAGGCTAGCAGCTGCACTGAGTTTTGCCCTGCTCTGGAACAAAAGCTATCCGCCCCCACCCTGACAAAACTGCTCTGAGGGAGATGCCAGTACACAAATACAGGATGAGCCCCATGGTCACATCAGTGCCTGCAAGAGAGAAGAGGGAGATGAGCCCACATTCCACCGTTGCTCTTGACTGATTCCTACTTTGCACTGTGCTCATAGCAGCAGGACACACCTAAGACTAGCTGTGGGCAGAAGGGAGGCAGGGGCATGCTCATGGGAGGGCAGGCACAGGCTGGCAAAATCATATCTGAACAGTACAGAAACCTTTCCTGCAGCTTACAGGGCTGCAGCAAGGGTAGAGCAGCTCCCACAGACTCTGCTGAGAGCACCCCAGTCCAGGGGAGTGCCCTGCCTTAAGCAGGCAGAAGATAGGTAAGGGCATCTCCAGCCTGTACATGCCTCTTCCCATCTCAGCAACACATTCTGGAAAAGACAGGCAGAAAACATTAAGGATGACAACACAACAGGCCCTCAGCATCAGTGTGTAAGCACTGTCTGTTCTGCTGCTCTTGCAAGGCTTTGCCTTAAATTTGGGTGTCTTTGCAAAGTGATGTATGACACAGCACTAGTGTCACAGTGAAATTTCTTCCTAAGTGCCGAGGAGAAAGTGTGATGAAAGTAGAGCAGAATTTCAAAACAGTGAGTAATATGCAGGTGTTTGCATGGCTCAGATACTTGGGAGTGTGAAGAAGTGGAAGGAAATATTTTGCTATGTGGCAAAGATTAAGCTTTGTTTTGGAGGTATGAGAAGGAATGTGGTAAAAGTGTAGTGAAAAGGTGCAGTCTGCTGCTGAAGATAAGGAGAGGAATTTGGAAAACAAAGAGATTGTGCTCTAATTTCAAGCATGTCACTAGTCTCCCTGTATAACCTTGTCTGCACCACTTAACCTCTCTGTGCCTCAGTTTCCTCCTCTGTAAAATGGGTCTAATACCCATCTTTATAAAGCACTTTGCAATTCGTGCATGAAATAAAACTGCCAAGTATTTTTTGTTTATTGTATTTATTCATCTCTAATTTCTACACTCCTAGACTTCAGCAAATGGCATTTCCTCTGCCTATTTAAGTTTGATCAAACAAATCTCCTTCCTGCTTTCCACGGTTTTAGAACTAATTGCTATTGACCTAAAGTCCTGACATGTCACAGACTGGCATAGAGGAAGATAACTGTAAAAAGTTATATTTTGGGGCCTCCTCATTCCTCCAAATGTGCTCATGACCACAGAAACGCAGTTGTCTTTGTTACTGATAATCATCTGCCAGATGTGCCCTTACTGTACCTTCAGCGAATCTGATCAAGAAATGGCTTATGTCCATCCTAACTTATCACTAAGTATCCTCACTCTTGGAGATGGGCACTTTTGCCACTTGAAACTAGGAGTGTGGATATTTGGAGGCAGATCTCTCTGGTTACTGGTAAGTAACCTTCATTATTTTTCCTCCTGTCTTCATTTGTCTTCTATGTTTTGAAACCACCACTGACCTTATTTATGCTCACCCATAGGCACCAAAGGCTTAGAAATTCAGATCATGCTTAAAATCCAACTAAATTGAGTTAAACTAGCCAGGCAAGATTTTGAAAATATTTCTGCACTGCAGTTCAGTGTGTGCGAATGTATATATATCGCTTGAGATTGACATTTCTCAATTTGCAGATGATTTGCTAAAGTAGTTCCAAAATGTGACAAGCTGTCAAAAAACATATATCTCATATGAGAAGTAGCTTCCCATATGAGCACCTGTTCTAATCTCAAACTGAGGACCAGTTTGTCAGTAACAGAAGGTTTGGAGTTAAAGTCAGACACTCGGGGTCTCTCTGGTTTTAGTTACATAACCAACTTCATCTACCGTAAATGAGATTCTTGATAAGAATGAATGAGAATGAATTTGCTTTAGGAATAAATTTGTTATGCTTCTGCCTTCTATTTATGCAAGACCACACAAATTTTGTGGCACAATATATGTAACTCAAAAGCTGACTTTTTTATCTTACTCCTATTACTTCTCCTTTCAGGAGAAGGGTGGTGTTAGCAGGTAGATATAAGCCAAAGAGAATGGACCTAAAGCACATTTGGAGAGCTAAAAAGATGAAGGAGAAAGTCCACTGTATGGTTCTGGCTTATTGGGCTTTGTTATGCAGTGTTTGGTGTAGCAAAGAGCGTGAGATTTGGAATGACAATCCTGAAACGCTGGTCGGTCCCTAACCAAGTTAAATCTTCAAAAAGAACTTCTTCAGACCCCAACTCTGTATGAAGGTGTCAGACTTTCTTTCCAGATCTCAGTGTGTCTGATGAATATCTACACTCTGCGAAGTTTTTGAGTTGCTCAGCTCTTTTTGTTTTATGCTTCCTTTTTCTCTAAAGCAACAATCCTGCTCACAAATACTATCTGGCCGTGGACCCTGTTTCGGGCTCCCTGTACGTATCAGACACCAACAGCCGACGGATATACAAAGTCAAATCTCTCACTGGCACGAAAGACCTGGCTGGTAATTCTGAAGTGGTGGCGGGGACTGGAGAGCAATGCCTGCCCTTTGACGAAGCCAGATGTGGAGATGGAGGGAAAGCAGTGGACGCAACCCTAATGAGTCCTCGAGGTAACGTAATAAAAAAAAGGCAGAGAAAATGACTATGTGAGGCTACACTGGATGTGGAAATAATTATCTGGCAATTAAATCACTACTTGCTTGGTAATTTTTATTCCGTGCTTTAATTACAGTGGATTGGCAAGTGTTCGTGCTTTGTTTAGTTAAGCAAACTTTATTACCCCAGCACTGAATGCCACTGAATAAGAACAGAACAGAAATTAGCAGGGTACCACTTACTCCATGAAGCAAACATGAAAACTAGAAAGCAAATCACTATTTGAGATACAGTATTTTGGGAAGAAAAACCACCCACTGTGGCATTTTTCTCAGCTTTCATATGTCGCCTTAGATGTTTCTGATTTTTAAAAAACAATTTTAAAAGTGATGTAGAGATTTGGGAGACACATTGCTGTTCAAGTTCTGGATTAATCAGGTTTATTGCCAGGTGTTTCAGACACCTTTGTTTCTTTCTAATGGTTGAAAGTAACTAGATGATAGTAGAAGTGAAGAAAAATGAATAAAAACAAGAGGTCCTGTTCTTTGTTTAGGTAATAGTTTCTGTTTATATGTACAAAGTATGTTAATGGGACAGAACAGCCCTACACAGCGGGTGAGAAGATAAAGCTTCCTCTTCTCCCCCTCGACAGTACAATGAGTACTGCTGCAACCAGTGTAAGGCAGAAAGCTTAGATGAGTATTTCACTTTCAGACCAAGAACTGAGCTAGGCATTGCACCAAATTAAAGCAGGAAAGCCAAGTGAGAGTATGCCTGCCCTCCTTCATGACAAGCAGCAGCGTCATTCTGTGCCTCCAAGAATTCCCTTTTCATTTTTCTGTGCCTTTCCTCTTCAAGGATTTACAACTTGGAAGGCAGGAGAAGTAAACAAACGCCGCCATCTTTAAACTTGTTATCATGATTAATCCTACCTTGAAGCTAGAAGCTTCACTGATGCCTGTTTTTCATACTTGCAGGAATTGCAGTGGATAAGTATGGACTCATGTATTTTGTTGATGCCACTATGATTCGAAAAGTGGATCAGAATGGAATTATATCAACTCTGCTGGGCTCCAATGACCTAACTGCTGTACGACCTCTGAGCTGTGATTCCAGCATGGATGTCAGCCAGGTAAACTCCTACGTTTTTTTACTTCTCAGCCTTAGAAGAGATGGGCAACTGTTTTGGATGACTTCCTGGCCACTTAAGAGATACATTATTTATTGCAAGATGATAGCATGTTTGATTCATTATTGAGATGAATGAACTATCCTTTTACTGTGGTTAATGCAGGTTATTTATGCAACAATAGTGAAATAAGGTTGAGATAATGGAAGTAATTGTCTTAATTGCCTGTTTTTCTGTAATTATTGTAGAGTTTCCACAATGTAGCATTCATTCTTTGCACCGAAACACAATTCGCCAAAGTTACCATTGCACATAGCTTTAATATTTCCAAGAAAGAAAATGATTGTTTGAAATAGTTGCAGTTTCATGATTTGCGCTGATAAACCCCTCACTAATTTGCTGTTGTTACACATGGAATTTTAAACACTAGAAGTGTACTTTTCAGTTATGAGTTTTACAGTAATAATTTGTGCAACTCATAGGTACGGCTGGAGTGGCCTACTGATCTCGCTGTCAATCCCATGGACAACTCACTTTATGTCCTAGAGAACAATGTTATTTTACGGATCACAGAAAACCATCAAGTTAGCATTATTGCTGGACGCCCCATGCACTGCCAGGTTCCTGGTATAGACTACTCTCTTAGCAAACTGGCTATTCATTCTGCACTTGAATCAGCCAGTGCCATTGCCATCTCACACACAGGAGTTCTTTACATCAGTGAGACAGATGAAAAAAAAATTAATCGGCTACGCCAGGTAACTACCAATGGAGAAATATGCCTTCTTGCAGGGGCAGCTTCAGACTGTGATTGCAAAAATGATGTCAACTGTAATTGCTATTCTGGGGATGATGGGTATGCCACTGATGCCATCTTAAATTCACCATCTTCCTTAGCTGTGGCCCCAGATGGTACCATCTACATAGCTGATCTCGGAAATATCCGCATTAGGGCTGTCAGTAAAAACAGGCCCATTCTTAATTCTTTTAACCAATATGAAGCTGCATCTCCAGGAGAACAGGAGCTGTATGTCTTCAATGCTGATGGGATTCACCAGTACACTCTCAGCCTTGTTACCGGGGAGTACTTGTACAATTTCACCTATAGCAGCGATAACGATGTCACGGAGGTGATGGACAGCAATGGCAACTCCTTGAAGGTCCGTCGGGATGCCAGTGGAATGCCCCGCCATTTACTGATGCCTGATAATCAGATTGTCACGCTGGCTGTTGGCACTAATGGTGGACTCAAACTAGTCTCAACGCAGACCCTGGAACTTGGATTAATGACTTATAATGGAAACAGTGGTCTCTTAGCAACGAAGAGTGATGAAACAGGATGGACAACATTTTATGAGTAAGAATGTTTTTGGATATATTAAGCGTACTTTTATTTTTCAAACGGTAGTGATGGGGCCCTGAAGTGATCCCACTGAAATTTGTTGTAGGTTTTTCACTGATACCGAATAAGGCCTTTGCACCTCAATCTATTATGATGCTGGACATAATTAAGTGGCTGCTTGATTTCATCGGTTTTGCCGTGTCCTTTAGGTGGGTACGGAACCACCTAAACTCCTGCCCATAGTTTGAGGCCAGTGAGGAAGTTTACTACCTCCAGCACGAAGGACTGTGTGCGACATTCAGAAACGTGCTTTTGTTTTGCCAGCTTGGGGCCCTGTTCCCAGTCGCCAGCAAGAATGCAGATAATTTGAATCCAAGCCAGCCCCCAGCAATCTGTGGCTCCTACTGAGTTGCCTGTGTCTATAAACCTTAATACCATGGTTTCTTTCTTTTAGAGCTCAAATTATCTTTCTATTCAGGCTCATATATTACTCATGGTTGATAAAATGTTGATTAACTTTACTGATTGTTCATTCTTGAGACAAGTGAGGAAATTACATCCCCAGCTATCTGTCAGACCCCTGTGTAACTCACATAATTTGTTGATAACCCAAGAGCACATTGGTGTTCATGAGCGCATAGATTAAAAAGCCAGAATTTTCTCTTTAAATGGAATTCATCAGATGAGGTTCAAAAGCATATTAAGAATCTAGAAAAAACAGTCATTTTTCTCTTTAATAATTTCCATATTTTTAGTAGTCTTATTGCCATTTATTGACCAAAACCTTTTTAGAATGAAGCTAGATGGAATATTGTAAATGTATGTATGACTTCTGAGTATGGTAAGTCTGATGCCTCTATTTTTTTTTCAGGGAAGTAACTGTTTATTACTAAATGCCATTTCTCAAGTTACCAGCTAGAAAGTATAAACAGGATCTTATGTTTGACTTTAAATTGTAGCTTTATTTTTAAGGTTACAGAATGGTAATAATGCACACCTTTTTTGCTTATTAATGCATTCAGCTTGGCCAACATTTTTTTTATTTTTTAGAGAAAACTAACGCAGGATTATAAGGAATGGTGTTCAGTCTGCTCAAAATACATCGAAATTAGCATTGCTCATCACGGCTTTGCCCACCATGCCTTTTCCTTGCAAAGGAAGGCAGTGCCCTCTCGTGGTCCTCCTCTAACGTGGCCCTGAAAATTGAACAAGCCCTGGTTTTCACAAGGACTCGGTATAGATCCGAAGGTTTTTGCTCCTTAACATTTTAGCAAGGGTATTTCTGTACCAGGCGTTAGTTAGGAAAATAATCCAATTATTTTATTCCTCGTTTGTATAGCTGTGCCCAAACAATTCTCACAGAATTCAGTTTGTTGCACGTATCAATGTGTGCATGTCTATAAGCAAGAACGCACACACACCAACTATTTTAATGTACAGTGAATACAAATATGCAATGAAACTGTGCTCTAACTGGAGTAACAGAAGCTCCGTGACTTCAGTGTATCCAGAATCCACCTCAAGTGAAGACACTCAGATGGCCTTATCAGATCTCATTCATCCAGCCTGATGCTGTGTTGTGCTGTGATGTGTATTAGCTGCATCCAGCAAAGGCACAATAAGTCCCAGAGTGATCAGTATATTTTTATATTGCCAACTTTTTTTTCTAACTTGATGAGAATCAGGTTTGTGTCATGAAGAAGAAAGTTAGATAAGCATTTAATTCCTGCATATCTCTATTCTTATTATTCAGATAGATGCCTGGTTTTTGTAGTCTGCTAAGCACTCGCTCTCAAGAATACATAAATTCAAAAGAAATCTCAATAATATGTCACTTCTAAATTACAGAGTACATAAAAGTTTTCTGGTTTATTTAGCTTGAATTTTTTACCTTTCATGTTTTTTTAATAGGATTTTATTGATGCAGTGCATAAAACAGTAGTGCCTCCTTTCTATACACTGGTATTGCAATCTGTATATATTATTAGGTAGAGGTTCTTTTATGCCTAGCTCGTAAACTAAACAGTCTGCAGATCATAGAGAGTACAATTGTCCTATAAGCCCTTCTTTGTTTTCTTTTTTTTGATCTGCCATTTTTGTTTTCAAACACTGTGACCAGCACTGGGGAAAATGCCCTGGGAGATGGAAGGGGCAAAACAGTGATTTGTAGAAATAGCATTAGAATATTTCCATTTTTCTGTTTCAGTCTCTGTACATCCTCATTCATATTTACTTTTAGGCTGTCCTTGGACTTTAAACAGAGATTTTCAGTGAGTAGCCCACAGCAATCCCTAGGAATTTTTCCTTAGTTAATTAAAAACCCAGCAATGTGAATGAGAAGTTTAAATTAATCTGTCTCATTTGCATTACCTAAAATATATCTGCTGATGGGGAATTTCACCAGCCATTTTTCTGGATATTCACCAAGCTCTACAGCTTTCTCTGAGTCTAAAGCCACTCACAAACTTTTGTAGTTTTGCCCTATGTAATATTGTCCCTTCTGCAGTATTTGGCACCTAAGTATTCTCTTCATACCTTTGCTAATCACTAGGCATGCAGAGTTCTCACATGCAGATCCTTAGGGGGTATCCCACTATTAACCTTTTTGGATTTCCAAAGGTCTATTTTTGGTGCTTCTTGTTTCCCTTGCTAGGTGGATGTTTGGCTGGATCAAGTTCTCTCCTTATCTATGCTTTCTGAGTAATTTCAGTATTTCTTATAAATACTTTTATAAAGACTTAACCAAAACCCTTTTTGTAGGTTAACTAAATGTATTGTGTTTTATCCAGTATATGGTTGACAGAGTAAATGTCTGTCTACCTGTCTGTCTATCTATCTATCTATCTATCTATCTATCTATCTATTTATCTATCTATAGTAATGGGTAGAAACTTGTGGCTTTTATTAAGAAAAATCATGCTGCTTTATCTTTATTTGAACCTGAACTGCTTGAATGAACACACTATATTATTGGTTCCTTCCAGGTCGCATGATGCTTTGTTTTATTGATTTACTTCTTTGCCTAACCCTTCCGTTGGTTCTGGTAAGACTTGTTGCTCCACAGGTGATTTTTTTCCTTCCTCCTCCATATTCAGTTGAATGAGTGCAACCAATTGCAATGGATTGAAAGGCATAATTTATATTTGCGTTAACTGAGGAGCCTATTTTGTATGTTAATCTTGGAGATAGTCTGTACAGTTCAGGTCCACTTTGAGATTTCTTAATGATTTAATTGTAAAAAATCACGTTGAAAGCACCGATTTTTTTTCTTCTTTGCAGCTAAACACTGACCTACAAAGAAATGATCCAGCTTTGTGATACTAAATGTTCTGCTCTTCTCTTCTCCTACTCTCAGGCAGTGCAATGGATTTACCAGTTCTCTTCCAGGCTTCCCACTCCCTGGATTTCTACATCCAAAGGATGACCAGTTGGTTTCAGTCTTTACCTAAACTTTTCCCTTTATCTACACAGGACATTGTTTCTTGTCTTTCTCCTTTGCGCTTTGGTAGCGGCTGGGTGAGAGACTTGCACAAATAGAGAATTGCAGCAACTAGAGGAATGCTGATTTTGTGTTTCAGGTCCCCATTTCTTGCCCTTAAAAGATCCAAGGGATTGCTTCTTTTGCATATGTATGCACAGAAATACAGCATACAAAAGGAAAGGGAGAAACAGAATAATTCAATTTCTGGCAGCATTCCTTCTTTGCCTCCTCCCCAGGCTTTATACCTCTAAATAAACGTAACTGCTTCTGTAAGGTCGATAACCTAATGGAGAGCCCTTTTACCTTTGTTTTTTATTTTTGTGCCTCGGGAGCACTTAATCCATCTTCTAAGGTGTATTCTGAGTGCTGACTGCTGCCCTCTGTGCAACTCCAACCTATCCCGTGCCTTAACTTCTTACCATTTATCTATATGGGCAAAAGACTCACCCCAAAAGGCAATGCAGTACCACAGATAAAACCTAAATGAAATTATTATGTTCTCAAGTTGATGTCTTTTTTGATCTCTTATGGCAAATTTACTCCTTCATATGTCATTTAAAGTCATACTTAGTAATTTCCACTAAATATTCAATTGCAAATGTGGAACGTAGTATCATAATGGTGCCACATCCTTAGAGTTAAATGCAGCAATCAAAATACAGATGAATTTACTAATTATAATGGATCCACATATCACTCTGTATAACCGTAAGAATTTAATTGATTTTAAAAGAGACTAGTCTGGATTTACATTGATGGAGTTGAGATCAGTATCTCTAAAATTAATATTTCATCATGATAGACCCTTTCAACAACAGAGAAATAGATATAGCCAGGATGTTCTTGAAAATCTGTTTCATTCTGTATTTTTGCAAAAATTTGGTGCATTATTAATACATTGGGTATTGAAATGAACATATATCCTCATGCTTTTTTGCTCTTACTAACTTTTCTATTAGCTATGATCATGAAGGGCGCCTGACCAATGTAACACGTCCCACTGGAGTGGTAACTAGCCTTCATCGAGAAATGGAAAAGTCTATTACCATCGACATTGAGAATTCTAATCGGGATGATGATGTCACGGTCATCACAAATCTCTCCTCTGTGGAGGCTTCCTATACAGTTGTTCAAGGTACCAAAGTGCACTTCTCAGCACATCTCCTAACCACACACACAATTTGAGAAAGCAGTTCTCAAAATATTTGTGTCATAAGTACAGTCATGAGCAGGGGAAAAATGATAAGGTTTGCAAGACAAAATCCCATAGAGCTCATTCCTAAAATGACAGGTCTTCAGGACAGGTAAGAGACATTTCACAATCATACTTTGTGTCAAATACGTGTGGTCGTTTTCTGCTGATGAAAGTTAGTCCTGCTGTTACCTCTTGTGTCAGGTTCTCTTTACTCACTAATACTGCTCTCTGTACTTCACTGCAAAATCTGACTTTGCTGCCACAAAATGTAGCCTGGCTGATGAATGTTGACTGTCTATGTAAAAATCCTTGTGGAGAAAGAGGCTCAGGTACCTTTTGTGATTAGACATGAATCTTTCAAATGTATACACTACCATTAAATAAAATGTGAAACAGCACCAGTGGATGGTCTTGTGCCGCAGTTAATGCATGAGAAAATGGTGTAACGCCCCAAGTATGTCCAAAAAGGTTAGCAACAAAATGGTTAAATGTTTGTGTAGATCTTCCCAGCACCACCCAAGCATTATATCTGACAAACTGAAAGCAGTCACAGTTATCAAAGACACGCTGAAAGGAATTTGATGAATGATGAGGGCTTTTAAATTAAGATAGAATGTCACTGCCATAAGAATATCGTCACTGAAAAATAGCCTCCTCCTGACATAAACGTCAACATTTACAGACTGTTATACTGCGACATGTCTGGTTCCAAAGTCTTTCTTTCTCTTCTACCGGATGATTAATTATGTAGATGCTGTCCTTTTGTCAGACAAATATTGATGCTTTGGTGACAGTTGCCCCCTGTAGCCCTCTCTCCTCATTGTCTTAGAACAGAGCTCACTGTGTCAAAGCTGGGAGAATAGCACTGCCGTCAAAGTACTGGATTATTTTTATAACTTTCCTCAGCAAGCAGAAAGGCCGGGGTGTGATTGGCTAGTGCAGTTCTTGTGTGGCACAATGAAGAATGACAAATAAAGGACTGTGGCTGCCAGCTTGTATTGTTGGAGCCTCGTACCTTGAGGATTTAAAGCTAAACTAATTCTGTTCAAAGCGCCTGCTTGGAGACAGTTTCTAAACAGACAGGAAAAGAAGAGGAGCTTACTTGGTCACACACAGAAAGAGTCTAACAGTTGTGTGGGTTTTTTTTTCTTTTTATCCTAGAGCTTAATGTTTTATTGTTTATCCAGCAGTTCAGTTTTCAGGACTTTTTGCTCATATTAGAAATAAATTACGTGGTTGCAGTATATCACTGTGCATTTTGATTCATAATTAAGACTAAAGGGAAAATGTAATGAAATAAACATAGTATCTCTCTGCAGGCTCACTGTTACACTACTGTTCTTTACATGAATCAGTAACATCTGTAATTTCCACCATAGTACCACGTAAGTGGTAATTGCAGGCTGACTTCATTTAACATCAACAGGAGTGCAATAAAAAAGCAATCAAATTAAGCTATATGTTTTCTTTATGACTGGAGTAGCTAAATTATTTTCTTTTCGTTATTGCTGTAGATCAAGTGAGGAACAGCTACCAGCTCTGTAATAATGGTACTTTGAGAGTGATGTATGCCAATGGCATGAGTATTAGCTTTCACAGCGAACCTCATGTCCTGGCTGGGACAGTAACTCCCACCATAGGACGATGTAATATTTCTCTACCAATGGAGAATGGTTTGAACTCAATTGAATGGCGTCTGAGGAAAGAACAGATTAAAGGCAAAGTGACTGTGTTTGGAAGAAAGCTCAGGGTAAGTAGAATTACTGTAGTGGCAGCATTACAATAATGATCTTTTCTTCTGTGGGCTGACAGCTTTCCATTTGAAGAACACATCTTTTCTATTTTCACTTCTTTAAAATGTGTGACTCTAGGATTGTCTTTGGTGTGAGAATCTCTATTTGAGAGGCCAGTTAAGTACGTGGAATCATCTGTAATAAGCTACAGAAATTTCATCCACAAGAGGTTGGTAAAAATATCCAGAATATTGCTGCAAGTGAGAAAAAAAAAAGAAGCTGACCACTTGTAAAAATCCCATGTCACTCTTAACCACAGTCAGTCCTCTGAAGCACACACAGAGTTTGAGCAGTTACATTCTGCTTACCTAAAATCCCCCTACAGTTTCATCCAGTCTGGCAGACTGTGTCGATTCCCTTTCCTAAATGGCATGGTTGGAAAATAATTGCCATAATTACAAAGTCATAAGCATAGGAAATGAAAGACACTCCCATCATGTAAGCCATTCCCTACAAATTTAAAGATCTGCTATATCCAGATTGATCCCATTCTTTTCTCACCTACGCTCTTTTTCACCTGTTAAATATCCCAACGCTCTCTTGTTTCCTCAGTATATGCAGTTTTGAGAGGATTTTCAGATACCAGGCAAGAAAAAATGTAGCGCTGATCCAGGTCTTGTTTATGTTAATAATTCTTTCGATATCAATGGTCATGAGATGCAATACTGTGTGTTCAAGATGACCATAATAAATGCAGATGGATACTGGGATATATACTGGGATGTTAAATTTTGGTATTTTCCTCTTGCTTAGCATCTAATTCACATTCTTCCCTTATTTTCACAAATCCTCAGAATATGCACATATTCGTGTGAGAGGGAAGATTAGACAAAAAATTGAATGAGATTAGCAGGTAATCCTTAATGACTAAATTTCATGGCTGCGTAATTGATTTTTGATGTGTTGACCTGCACAAATTGACTGTAAGTAGAAAATAGATCAGCTCTGCATTTTGACTAGGTGTTCAAAATAAAAATAAATAGGACTTTAAAATGAAAACTGCTGTAATCCTAACTCTCGATACTAAAAATTTAATAGAGGTACTTGTGGTAATTAAATGGAATTAAACACATCTTCGAGCTGAAACCTTGCCTGAGATGGATTCTCTTGCATCATGTTTATGCAAATGAAAACACTGCTTTATCTAGCAACACCTCAACATTTAATTGTCTGGTGTTAGTTCCTGTAACAATAATCACATATCCATTTAGCTCTTTTAAATGAAAATCACTGTGTGATTATAACAGGTTGAGTGGACTGAAAATGAAATCTGAAAACAAGAGAGAAAGCATAGAATTTATTTGCATCTCATTTATCCGAATTCATCTTTATAAATTGTTTAGTGAATGAAATATAGCAACTGTGTTGGGAAGTGGGTGTGGAGCAGTGCTGGGCAGGGCAGCTGTGGCAGCTGTGCCAGATGCAGTGCCCAGCAGCACCAGCCAGGCCACAGGGCCGCCCAGGGGAACACTTAGCAGCAAGTGTTCTTCTATGGACCTTGTTCTTATGAGAACCTACTGTTAATCTCCAGTCCTGCAGTCGCTCATTAAGTGTTAGCAGGGCTGAATGTGAATGCAAGTACAGCCCCTTTGTACTGGGGACAGTACAAAGCTGGGGACAACAGAGCAGTCATTCCTTCATTGGGTCTTATTGCTTCTCATGAGCGGTACCAGACACACAAACAGAAGTGAGAAGTGGGAACCTCCTCCCCCTTAACCACCCACCACCAGTTCTCGTGCCACACGTCCAACATCTCGCTAGTATTTTCAGACAAGGCCTGGATCAGATTTTGTTCAGAAGAGTTTCTGATACACTGCAATTAAGTGATTTATTTAGGGAGACCTTTTACCAGCACACAGAAGGGATGTTGCCCTATTGCCTCTTGTTCAGCAGCAGCGAGAGGAAGAGATGTGCACAGAAGTAGCAGAACAAAAGAGAAATGGCTTTTGAGATGATCCTCAGCCACGATATTTACAGCAGTGTTATTAGTGTTCCCAAGAAGAGTGGGAGTTAGTCATTCTGCTTGGGTTTCTATATAATTAATATGACACCACAATTAGACTCCGTAGCTTTACTTGTTTTACAAACAAAAATGAAGTTACTGAGTTATCCAAACAGAGGCTTCTTTATTCCCCGAGTGCTGTTTATGTGGTGTAATCATTCCAAAAAACTAATATTTGGGTTATCTTTGGGGGAAAATGAAATCTAATTCCCTTTATAGTGTCTTTGGGAAAAGGGAAGATCTTTCTGAAATACTTGTTAAAAAAACTCTGCCTATCATTTAAAAAACCAAGTTCTTTCTGTCATATCCTACTCTTTTATTTTAATGTTACAGCTACATACTTCTGAGAAGTGAAAGCTCTGTCCTGCTTCACCAAAACCTTTGTGCAGCAAAGGGCTTTGACATGTCTCCATCATGAGAACTGACCTCACGTTTACAAAAGCAGAGTAACTGGCTGAGAAAGGGCTGGTGCCAACTTTGCCTCCCAGAGCCCTGTTTCCATTAACTTGGGACAGCAGAGCACGATCCATTTTGCCAAGATGTTTTTAAAACCACGCCGTGCCTTTGCTTTGACTCACAGGAGAAGTTGTTGCTGGAAAAGCATTTGGGAAAACCTACAGAAAAGCTTTTCCTAATGATTGCCACTGAGGAAATGCAGACTGTTAAAGAGCTAAATTTTATTAATGGAAAAAATGAGGATAATGAGCGATAATTTGAAATAATTACTTCTTTACAAACACAAAATTGTATTAATTTTAAATTTGCTGTCAGTGCAACTGAATTCCTTCAGAGTCGGTTGTGATGGGAATTGGGTTTACCCCTGCCAGTGAAAAGATCTCTGAATAACTTTCATGTCTGCAAGAAAGGCTCAGGGTTAATTTACATATTGTTTGATGTGTGGTTTAATTTTGGATAACAGAAAACGTTGCTTAATCAAAGCTACTGAAAAATATAAGCTGGAGAACAAATTCCCAGAAACCAATGAATACTTTCTAAGCAGTCACTGCTGTCAAATGATATCTAATTTAAAGACTTGTACTTTATTAATGACGCATCTACAATTAAATTACTTAAGAAGCTTTATCAGATTATAGCATCAGCCTGAATTCTGTGGCTTAGCCTCCAGTGATTATTTTGATGTATCTCTCATTATAGTGCTTTCACTAGAAACCTCACCATTTTGCATTCTTATGCTCTTTTGTTTTGGCTTTGCTTTTGGTTGTGGTTTGTTTGTTTGTGGTTTTCTTGTTTGTTTGTTTTTGGGTTTTTTTGTTTTTTTGTTTTTTTTGCTTTTTGCTTTTTTTTTTTAATTCAAAAAAGAAGTAAAAAATCTTGGACTGAAATATTTCATGCTGTGCCTTTATTTGAAAACTAACTAAAAACTAGATGAGAAGAAAAATATTTAACCTAACTGCTTAGAACATTTGTTTTGCACAACTAGAAGTCCATCCCAGCCTGCTCGACTGGGACTTTTGATCAGAAGAAATGAAATACGTTGCAAGTAATTGAGCTGCTTGAGGAATCTGTTGAACATTTGGAAAGTAAATGAAGAAATCATTAATGACATGAAGGAATAAGTGGGTGTTCCAATTAAGGTGCCTAAGTAGTTAAACCACCAAGAAGATGTAACATTATATTTTTTTCTGTTGTCCATGAAGTCACTGTAGGGAAAAATGCTAAGTTAGAACTACTGGTGACAGATGTGAAACAGTTATTTCCATGCAAAATCACTCGTTTTGCTGCTAATTGTTAACAGTCTGCAATTCAGGAGCCAGGTATGCAGTATGTCTGTCCTTTGACAGGGGAATCCTTTGTACGATTACAGCTCTGGGCGACAGCCCAGTCAGACACATAAAGCATATCCTAAATTACTTAGAATGAAATATGAAAGCCTATCAGTCTGAATCCTACACTTTCAACAATTCAGTGGTCACTGAATACAGCCTTCGTTCATTTCGACAGGTTCATGGAAGGAATTTACTGTCCATTGATTACGACCGGAATATACGCACTGAAAAAATCTACGATGATCACCGCAAGTTTACCCTGAGGATAATTTACGATCAGCTGGGACGGCCCTTCCTCTGGCTGCCCAGCAGCGGCCTGGCTGCTGTCAACGTGTCCTATTTCTTCAACGGGCGCCTGGCGGGGCTTCAGCGCGGAGCCATGAGTGAAAGGACAGACATCGACAAGCAAGGCAGGATCATATCGCGCATGTTTGCAGATGGGAAGGTTTGGAGTTACACCTACCTAGAAAAAGTAGGTGCTGTCCTTTTACATTCTGACATTCGTTACAAAGAGACCGGACTACTTTACTTTGTTGCTTCATTTTAAGCTCCATCTATAATAAATTCACACTGAAGTTACCCAAAAATATAATATATGCAGTTACATATTACAAAAGCTGCTAATAATCCCACTGTGCTTGATCTCAAATATTATTATTTTTCAATTAGTAACTGAATTTGACTTATTTTTTAATAGGAGATCCTTTTTTCATGGTTTGTATCTTTTGATATTTTCCTGAAAGCGAATAGACCACCCACTGCATTGTGGCATAAACTAACGCAATGAGTTGTGCTTAATTAAGAACAAAAATGCAGGACTAAATCTGACCAAAGGTTCAGGTAGAACAGGTAATTCATTTCTACTCATTATGAATTAAAAGAAAATACTTTAGTGCATTTTTATTTATCCTAATTAAGACTCTTTAATAGTGAAAGAAGCTTAAATACCTGAAAATTGCAAATTATCTTCCCCTTCTCTTCTTTGAATCTGTTTTAACCCATTCTCTGCTTAGTTTGTCACATGCTTCAAAGCAATAGCTGTGAATTACAATTGCTAGCAGAAAGATCAATCAATTCATTTACCAAATTCCATTTCATCCTAAAAAAAAGAAAGAAAGAAATAAAAATCGTACTGAAGAGAGGGTAGCTAATAGGTTTCTAACCTACACTTTCTCTGGAGTGTCAGCATATTGATTTCCAAGTAGCAGATCCTTTCATCTGGCAATCTGACAATACTTCAGAGCAGCTTTGTGTCCCTAACTAACGCATAGATGTCTCTTTTTATTAATTTAACATTATTGCCTCTTTAGAAAACTTCTGTTTTTTTTAAATGCCCTCTCAGAGGTCACAAGCTAAAAAACGGTAACTGTGTATGTATTGTTGTGTTGTATTTTTTCCATAGTCAATGGTACTACTGCTCCAGAGCCAGCGGCAGTACATCTTTGAGTATGATTCTTCAGACCGGCTCCATGCTGTTACTATGCCTAGTGTTGCTCGGCATAGCATGTCAACTCACACGTCTGTTGGCTACATTAGGAATATTTATAATCCTCCTGAAAGCAACGCATCAGTGATTTTTGATTACAGTGATGATGGGAGGATTTTGAAAACATCATTTTTAGGTACTGGTCGACAAGTCTTTTACAAGTATGGAAAGCTATCCAAATTATCAGAAATTGTTTATGACAGTACTGCGGTTACTTTTGGATACGATGAAACTACAGGCGTCCTAAAAATGGTGAATTTGCAAAGTGGAGGATTTTCTTGTACAATCCGCTATCGTAAAATTGGCCCTCTTGTGGACAAACAAATCTACAGATTCTCCGAAGAAGGTATGGTCAATGCAAGGTTTGATTACACATATCATGACAATAGTTTTCGAATTGCAAGCATCAAACCCATCATAAGTGAGACACCTCTTCCAGTTGATCTTTACCGTTATGATGAGATTTCTGGCAAAGTTGAGCATTTTGGCAAATTTGGAGTTATTTATTATGATATAAATCAAATTATTACTACAGCAGTTATGACACTGAGTAAGCACTTTGATACCCACGGACGCATTAAAGAAGTGCAATATGAAATGTTCCGATCCCTGATGTACTGGATGACTGTGCAATATGACAGCATGGGAAGAGTAACTAAAAGAGAACTGAAACTTGGGCCGTACGCTAACACAACCAAGTATACCTATGATTATGATGGAGATGGGCAATTACAAAGCGTAGCAGTAAATGATAGGCCTACCTGGCGCTACAGTTATGACCTAAATGGAAATCTTCACCTCCTGAATCCTGGAAACAGTGTTCGATTGATGCCCCTGCGCTACGACCTAAGAGACAGGATTACACGCTTAGGTGACATACCATACAAAATAGATGATGATGGATTCTTGTGTCAACGAGGCTCGGATGTATTTGAGTACAATTCCAAAGGACTTTTAACAAGAGCTTACAACAAAGCAAATGGGTGGAACGTTCAGTACCGTTATGATGGACTTGGCCGAAGGGCTTCCTGTAAGACTAACCTAGGGCACCATCTGCAATACTTTTACGCTGATCTTCACAATCCAACAAGAGTAACACATGTCTACAATCATTCCAATTCAGAAATTACCTCTTTGTATTATGATCTGCAAGGCCACCTCTTTGCAATGGAGAGCAGCAGTGGGGAAGAATATTACGTCGCCTCCGATAACACAGGCACTCCATTAGCTGTATTCAGCATCAATGGCCTCATGATCAAACAGCTTCAGTACACTGCATATGGGGAGATTTATTATGACTCAAACCCTGATTTCCAGCTGGTTATTGGGTTCCATGGAGGGCTGTATGATCCTTTAACCAAACTCGTTCATTTTACCCAAAGGGACTACGATGTCCTTGCTGGACGCTGGACATCTCCTGATTACACAATGTGGAAAAACATTGGTAGAGAACCTGCTCCTTTCAATTTGTACATGTTCAAGAGTAACAACCCTCTTAGCAATGAACTGGATCTAAAGAATTATGTAACAGGTGAGACTTCGTTGCATTTTTGTATAAATAACACTGTTGTTTTGAAGTTCATTTGGGAAAGGACTCAGAATTCACCTTACTAGCCATATACTGGTATCAGAGCATCAAGATTGGGCTATTTTCTTTTCTATGCTGTGAAAAGGGCTGGCTACTCTTGATTCTTTGATAGTGCTCCTCCCTGAAGAAGGGCAAGAAATGAGAAACCACGGAGAAAAACGTGAAGGAGGAAAAGTAAATTTGGGCTAAATACTCAATTTCAGCTCAACTTAGGGCTCTTCCTTTTGAACTCAGTGCTGTATGGAGATGTGTTTGTAAAAGATGTAAAGCAAAGTGAAGTTACCAGTAAGCAGGTTAGTAAGCAGAATCAAGAACCAGAACATCTTGGAATCTCTTCCCTTCAGGGCTACTTTCAAAATTAACTTCTGACTGAGCCCAGAGACACATTACATATTAGCACCAAGAATGGATTTAATTAAACCTCTTTTTCCCATTTATCTTTTAATATGCAAACAGTTTTTAGTCTCTACAACAAAAATTCTGTTTTTTTATTTTTTAACTATTATTTTCTCCTGGAAAACTTAATAAATTTTATGGCACATGTTCAGAGAGAAACAATAAAGTAGTTTTGATTGTGCATGCTAGAACTGGGTAAAACTTGTAACCTTTTCTTAATTAGTAATAATTTTTCACTTAGTAAGATCACACAGTACTTGAACTGGCTGCTGGCAATTTCTAAAAAGAAAGTTAATTAACATGTATTTAAGAAAAGCTTTTTTCTAAGTTGAATCTGTAGTGTACAGTAATTAGAGCAGTGATACTTTAAAAAAGGATCTAAATTTTAGCAGTACTTTGAAATTCAAGAGAAGTGTGCATTTCCTTCAAAGAAAATTGCAGCAGGTTTCCTTCGTTCTCTGGGACCCAGTCACACGTGTGACATCCTGTCACCTCAACTATAGCTTCTTTGCAATATGAAGACAGTGCAATTCTTAGTGTGAGAAATATTGACTAAAATTACTTTGGGATCAAACTTCATTGTCTTAACTGCAACAAAATTCCGTTTTCATTTATCAGTGCTTGATTTAGACCTTCAATGCCATCTTCTGATATTTTGCTATATTCAGAATTAGCATTTATTTTATTTATCCATCTACTGGATTAAGTCCCAGAAAATGCATTGCTTTTGGTATAGCACATATCTTCTCTGCAAAAATAATTCATTGGCGGTTAAAACGTTTGTTGCTATACAGACTAAGCAAATCGTATTGCACAGGAAGTGATTATGCTGGCACCTCAGATTTGATGGTGAAAAAAAAAAAAAACCTTCTCCCTCATGTAATTGGAAATATGTATAAATATCTTTATACAAACAGAATATTTTAGTACTTATTTTACTGTCAGAACAGTTGAGAAAAGGAGACATTTGCTGTCACAACCAATAAGTATTACACTTTACAATCAGTACTACACATTAGGATGTCCACGACCATCAGGTATTACAATTTTTATGAGGCAGCCGCTGAATCTTTAGGGAAAAGAGGTTTGTGGCAGCAGACAGGTGCTGGCTCATGGCCATGCATGCCCTAGGGGCTGGCAGTGCACAGTGCTTAGTCCCCAGGGCTCCGCAGCAGCGAGCAGGGCATGGTGGGCACTTTCAACTAGAAAAGAAGACAGGGCTTGTCATGTTGAGCTGAGAGCTGGAGCTCCCCACAGCAATCCCTGGGCTGAGGTGAGACCCTGCCCTGCAGCACCCTCCCTTTTCTCCTGCACTCACAGTGGACCTGCCTGAGCGGGCACAGCTGTGCTGTGGAAGGCAGACATCTGAAGCTTTTGACTGCAGTTAATGGGTACTCCAGGGAGCTCGGGACAGCTAGGAGAAGCAGATAAGAAGAGAAAGCGGTGCGTTTTGCGAGAACAGCTTTGTAGCTGTTCTTAGGAGTACAAACCTAATACAGCATAATTTTACAATATCACTTATGGATTTCATTAACCTCATCAGAAGGTGACAGAGAGGGGACAAATATTACATAAAGTGTTCCATGTGCAGTTGTGGAAAAAGACTGAATGAAAGAGGTTGTGTATCACTGATGAACTATTTAGGATGTATTTGAGGTGATATTCCATGTTTGTTCACTGTGGAATACCACAATTCTGAAAACCGCTACTTGAAACAAATGAGGTCAAAGGTGGATTTCCTTAATCTGTGGATTTCTTGCACATTTATTTCTTATTTGCCTCCTTACTTTTGATTTTTAGATGTCAAAAGCTGGTTGGTGATGTTCGGATTTCAGCTTAGCAACATTATTCCTGGTTTCCCTAGAGCAAAAATGTACTTTGTGTCACCGCCGTATGAGTTGACGGAGAGTCAAGCGTGTGAAAACGGACAGGTAGGCAGAAACATGAAGTCCTTTTTCCTGATAAATTTGCCTCTCTGTGAATAGAACCGCTGTCTCTTCAGTAGTTACAGTAGTTACAGTGGAAGGCCAAGGGATTTATTTCAATGTAAAACAAAAGTGAATATAGCTAGATTTTATATTAATGAACATATGTCTTTCTTGCCAGCCCTCGTTACCATAATTACAGTGTCATTAGTTTGTCTTTTATTGACTTCTTCCTTGATTAACAACTTGTAACTTGATTAACTTGATTAACAATGACAAAAGGAAACTTTGCAAGGTAATTTATCATCTGTTGTACCATTGGTAAAATTAAGCTAATAATGTGGGTGTCACAGTGAACTTAGGTTGGGACTCATTGTACTGCTAAGAAATGATTTTGCTCCCCACCCCATACAAGCTTTTTCATTGCTTTTTTTCTTGAACATTTTCATAGGAAGAGGCTATGGTTTCCTACTTCTGTAACTACAGCTAGTGTCAGTTATGGCCTTCATGTGCACTTGTGGGGTTAAGGCTGGGATATGATATATGCTTTCTGCCTTCATCATAAATTCCAACCAGTTTAATATATTTAAAAGAAGTACTAGGCCATTTTCAAACAGTCTGTGCTAAACTTGCACAACTGACATGACCATGTAAACCAGCACATGTGACCATAATCCTTTACTTGACATTACTGATTACAAAATTATTTGCCAGATGTATTTTTATACCAATTCTGGATGTATTTATATGGGAAGGGAGTGGTCTTTCCACAGAATTTTTCGTTGTGCAACTCGCCTTTATAAAAAGAAAGCAAAGATTAGCACTGTTCTCTGAAAACAGTATTTTCAGGTCTCTATCTTCTTCATTTTGTTTTTTTCCAGCTAATTACAGGAGTCCAGCAGACAACAGAAAGACACAATCAAGCTTTCATGGCTCTTGAGGGACAGGTCATATCTAAAAAATTACATGCCAGTATTAGAGAAAAAGCAGGCCACTGGTTTGCAACAAGCACTCCTATTATTGGGAAAGGAATCATGTTTGCTGTGAAGGAAGGCCGTGTAACCACTGGCATTTCCAGCATAGCCACAGACGATAGCAGAAAAATTGCCTCTGTCCTTAACAGTGCTCACTACCTGGAAAAAATGCACTACAGCATCGAGGGGAAGGATACTCACTACTTTGTCAAGATAGGCTCAGCCGATAGCGACCTCGTCACCCTCGCGATGACCAGCGGGAGGAAGGTCCTGGACAGCGGCGTAAACGTGACCGTCTCCCAGCCAACCCTCCTTATCAATGGAAGGACTCGACGGTTCACAAACATCGAGTTCCAGCATTCCACCCTGCTGATCAACATCCGCTACGGGCTCACCGCCGACACACTGGATGAGGAAAAGGCACGAGTGCTAGACCAGGCTCGGCAGCGAGCCCTGGGGTCGGCCTGGGCCAAAGAGCAGCAGAAGGCACGGGACGGCCGCGAGGGCAGCCGCGTATGGACAGACGGAGAGAAGCAACAGCTTCTGAACACGGGAAGGGTTCAAGGTTACGAGGGATATTATGTCCTGCCTGTGGAGCAGTACCCAGAGCTAGCAGACAGTAGCAGCAACATCCAGTTTTTAAGACAGAATGAAATGGGAAAGAGGTAACAAATTAAACTGCTGTCATCCTCTGATGGATGAATCAGTAGTCATAACTGTTATCTCCTCTCCTAAGGAGATGAAGACCTACATGGGGGCACTAGGCTGAGCTACTTTGGGATAGCAAGTGGCAGAAAAGCTCATATTTTTTGAGTTAAATGCTACTGTTCAAGTGATTAAAAACCACATCCTGAAGTGGACTAAAGCCTGACTGAAAACTCTAACCATACAAATTTAAAAGTACCCCTGAAATATTACCCACTTGTTCTGGGTCTAAAGAAAAATAAAAAGAAGGCCTCGTATTGTATTACCTCACTCCATTCACACGTGAGCAAACTAAGAAATCCAAGTGGGCCACTTTCACTAACCAGCTGATGAAACACAAACAATTCAGACTGCTTGTTTGATAAATATCCAAGAGGTTTTCATTTAAAGCAAAATACAGGTGCATTTAAAACATGACTTTGGGGTGATTTGTGTGTAGCAATTGGAGGAAAAGGAGAACGCAAGTGAGAGCACACTGGAAATAGTAAAGGAAACTATATTTAAAATAACAAAACCGCACTTGCACTCTGACCCTCCATTTGTCTGGCCTGAAGCTTAACTTATTCAAAGAGGGCAGAGTGTAAAGTTACATACAAAATGGTGGCTATAAATCACTACAAATAAATTTCATACTCTGTTTGTCTTTGAAGATTTCCATTGTGGACAGTATAACACAGTTACAGGGTGTAGTCTGTTTAGATTCAGTAGTTTGTTGGTATCAGTTCCAGTAGAGCTGTGGGCATTGTGTTACACTATTGCAAATGGGCACCACGTCAGATCACCCTGTACATACATCAGCCAGAAGGCACAGTCACTGTTTCAGATTTAAAAATTATTAGTGTGTTTGTTTGGTCGAGAAACTGAGACAATCACATTACAGTCACCGCAAAAGAAAAAAAAAAAAAGTCTAACAAGAACTTTGGTACAAGAACTTTTTTGTAATATACATGTATGAATTGTTCATTGAGTTTTTATATTAATTTTAATTTGCTGCTAAGCAAAGACTAGAGACAGGCAAAGATAATTTATGGCAAAGTGTTTAAATTGTTTATACATAAATAAAGTCTCTAAAACTCCTGTGAATTATTGGTCTTCTATTGTGAAATCTCTGAAAATGAGAAAAATCTTAGTGTGCCACTGTCATCTCGTGTACAGCATCCAATATGTAGAAATGGTCACTGTACCATGGATTCTGCAGAGGGGTGTTCCTTTGATCTCTGGGTAAGCAAAGTCTTACATAAGCATCACCTGTTTATGACAACAAAATAATTTGTAAATGCTCCTTTCAACTCTCTCTGCATCTCATGACTTAGTGACCCTCAGATCGCTACCTTACAATCCTGAAATTAGTTTAATTGCACCAAAGAAACTTCCAGACTGTTTGAAAATGCAGTAACATGGTATTAAATGGAAGACGGAAGGACTTGCTGTGAGCCCCGGAGCCCCCGTGCAATCTGTCTTCTTTGTGAGATTGCTTATTTCTACCGCATTTACAAATGGGAGGTAAGATCAAAGACCCTCTCCTGAGCTAACAGTCGCTCTTGATGATGTTAAAAGGGAGCCATGCATCAGCGAGAGCCCTGCTGCTTTTATCTCGTTTAAGTATGTAGTCAGAAAGCTCCACTTAATTTTGAGAGCAGTCTTGCTTTTGGGGTTGCAGATGAGGTTTTTAATGATTCATGGTATCAGCAGAGATGTTTGAATTGATTACAGGCGTTAATTCACTCCAGGGCTCGTTTAAAGCAGAACAGCTTGGTGGCAGTTCTGTGCAGCACATATCGCACTCAGAGCCCATCTGAGTTTTGCTGAGCAAACAGAACACATCCTGTTCTGATTGCAGTGTTGCACCTGTGTGCTCCCACTGTGCACTGCATGTGCCAGAACTCCAGGCCCTGTTCTCTCAGAAGGATGAATCCGGGTACATTTCCAGAGAAAGTCCTATACGTCCCTCACTGCAGATGTTACTCTGTGCTGATAGATGTGAAGTGCTGTTATCAGACTTGTCTAGAAGTGAAACTTATTAAAGAAGTGAAATATTAGGTGGGTATTCATGGAGCTTACTTTGTTATTACTTTTGGTGTAAACTTAAACCGTGAAATCACAAGGTGGAAGCACTTCTCACTGTCACGGTTTTCCTGAATGCTCTGATCTGTACTGGTGAGCTTTTTAGGTCATTTTTTTAAAATAGAAGTTTTCTTGCAGCTGAGAGGCTGGATATGAGAATTTGCTGCACAGCCTTGTGTTTCCTTTGTTCTCTTACCAGTGTCCTAAAGCTGAAACTGTTCAGACTTAATTTTGCTACTTCTCTTTATCCTCTGCAGAAGGAAACAAAAGTGAAACACCACTTCTGATATTACTTCCTGGGGACAGATTTGCAGGGGAAGAACTCAGAAGGCCAAGTTGCTCTGCAAATATAGGCATCATCGGGGTACTCTTAACTTTTGGACCTGGTTCAGTCACGTAGTTAATACTCAGAGACCATTTCTCCCCATCTGTGAATGGTTTCCAAAGCACAGGTCCCTAGCAACACATTTGAGCTCCTAGATGCAAACAGCTTATGCTGGAGGTCATTCCCCTGAGCCCTGTGTGCAGCACGCAGCTCAGCACCCACGGTGAGCTCCTGGTGGCACAGCGCTGCCAGACTCCGTGCAGGAGAGCTGTGTGCGGGGACCTGCAGGAGGTCACGTGCTGCCAATGGTTCCGTTTCCACACATCCTGTTCCCAGAACCTCTGCAGCACTTGTTCAAAATCCATATCAGGCGTAAATAAATTAGGCTTCTCCTTATTTTGTTGTTTGTTAAGATACGTGTAGTGTCCTGACCTCTCCTGAGAACTGTTCTGAGGCCGAAGTCAGGCTTCTGCTGCAGAGTTCGAGCTGAGAACTGAAAAAGCAATACAGAAATTGAAAGCACCATGGGAGAGAGTTGTTTGGAGTTTTGGAGAGAGGCAAGAGAACGTAGCCAGTGTATGAACCCTCAGCAAATACGATTTACAATGGAAGTGTCAGCTCGATCATTATGAGTACAGAAGGTGGCAGATAACATACCATAATGCTGCCTGTGCTGTTACAGCAGCTCAGCAGCATATTGCTATTGGAGAAACCATATTTACAGAAGTTTTATATCCTTAGACGACAGCTCCTGGCAGGTTCTAGCCTAATTTTGTAATTGAGTATGGAAATCTGCTGGAATCATGCTGGATGCAGCCCAGGTCTCTTTGCTGTTGCAAATGGGCACACATAGTGTGCTTCATCAAGTGAAGAACACATATAAGTGAAAATAGAATTTCAAGAAGCACATCGCCTAATGCTATAAATCAGTACTATCAGATAAACCAGGCCTTTCCATCAGTCAAAAATTCGCATCAGAAGTAGGAAGGAGAAACCTGTTTGCTTCTGTGGGCTGTAAGGATACTTTTGATGCCACCCCCACCTTGACACATGGTCTCTGCCCAGGTGAGGAAGGCAGGCAGTTACAACGAACTGCCGCAGCTGCCACAGCACCCAGCCCCGCCGCGGGCCAAAGCACAGCAGGGTCTGAGATGAGCGCCGATCTGCGCCTGCGCGGCCCCTCCGTGCTGCGGCCCGCGGCGGTCCCGCCGTGCGGCACGCAGGTGCGTCCCAGCGCGGAGGCGTCGGGCGGGCTGTACTGAGCTGTGCAAGGCTGCGCTGCGGGGTCACGATGGAACGCGCGGCAGCACGCGCAGTGCGGTCGTTTGTAAAAAACAAACAAACATAAAACCTTGATGTGGTTGAGGAAAAAAAATCTCGCAGCACGCCGAGGGCGATGAGAGGTGGTCATTCCCTCGCTGCGGGCGGTTTTGTGCCCAGGCCCGCACGTGCGTCCCACGCGCTGCCCGCTCCCCGGGCTCGGTCGGCTGGCGACGGGCCCGGCGAAGCTCCGTGCTGCTGAAAGCAGCCGGCGGCAGCGGGGCTCATAAAAGTGAGTTAATCGTTTCATCCGAGGGATTCTACTCCTTTTCTCAGCGCTGAGGGTAGCGTGACGCTGTGGGAAAGGCCGCTTGACATTTAACAAATCCGCGGTCGCCTGTCCAAGGCTCTGATAGGGAAAGGCCAAATTAAGCTTTCCTCTGTCAGAGACCTCCGTTGGTTTGAGTACAGCCATCGATGTTACTGGCTCCGGGGGCTCCGTGCAGGGTTCGCTCAGCACAGAGCCGTACCGATGCGTTCAGGGCTGCGTTGGACGCGCCCCGCGCAGCCGTAACCTGCGGGATGCGAGCAGGGCGTGCAGCCAGAGGGCCGAAAGGTCTGTGCCGAGCCTAGGCACGCCGTGGTCGTAGATTCCTGGACGACACAGGGCGTTCCGTCACGCCGTAGCTCCGCTGTGGCGGGCGGGATAAGACCGAGAAGGGTCACATGGGGGGTGGTCTCTCAGGTCAATCGAAGCCGTCTGCGCGCACGTCCGGGGAGATTTGCGCCACGCACAAACGGCTGTCGGAAGATGGCCGGCTCCTCGCCGCCGCACCGCAGACGCCGGCTGCCGGGCACGAGCGGGCATTCCGCGGGCCGCCCCTCCCGCCCCGGGGCCACGCCCCCGTTCCGGCTCCGCCAGGCCTCCGCCCTTCCAGCAGGGGGCGCTGTCCGCCCCGCCGGTGCCGCGCGCGCCGGGGCGGGGCCGCGAGGGCGGTGTTACCGGCCGGGGGAGCGTGGGCGGCCCGAGGCGGCGGAGCGGCGCGGGAGTGGGGCCGCGAGGGGTCGAGTCCCTCCGCAGCGTGTTCCGAGGGCTCTCCCGCCCCGCCCCTCTGGGTCCCGCCCCCCCGCCAAGCCCCACCCCCGCCGCGGGGCCGGCATGTGAGGAGCCGCCGCCGCCTGGGGCGCTTCTCTGCGCGGCTGGGCCGGCGCGGCCCCGCTCCGCACCGCTCCGCTCCTCGCCGTCCGCCCGGCCCGGCCCTAACCCGGGGTCGGCCACCGCTGCGGAGCGGGGTGCTGCATGGGGCGGCGTGGCCGGCACTGGGGACGATGCCGCGGAAGGAGCTGCCGCTGCCCGCGGGCTGGGAGGAGGCGCGGGACTACGACGGGAAGGTGTATTACATCGACCACGGCAGCCGCACCACTAGCTGGATCGACCCCCGCGACAGGTGGGCGGTGGGGGGCGGGGACGGCCGTCTGCCCGGGGAGCGGCCGCCTTGCGGGGCTCGGCGCCGGGCCCGGTCTCTCTGTGCCGTTCCGCCGCGGGCCGGGCCCGCCCTCACCTGCGGCGCTGCCGCCTTCCTTCGTCCCCGGAGCGGCCGTACCTGCGGCGCGTCCCCCCTCGGCGCGTGGCCCCGATCGGCTGCTCGTGGAGCGCGGGCGGTGCCGCGGCCCTCCGAGTTCAGCGCCGCGCGGGGGGCGGTGGGACGCGCGGGTCGCCGCTTCCTGGGGCGCTCCGCTCGGCTCTCCGTGTTCTCGAGGGGTTCTTTCCCGGCGTCGTTCACTTTGAAGAGCCACAGGAACGAAGCGGGCCGCCCCGCGCTCGGGCCGAGTCCCGGCGGTTCTTTGTCCCGGCGCTGTGTCGGGCAGCCGCTGCGAGCGGGCGCGGGGAGCCCCGTTGGGGCGCTGCGGGGTCCGAGCGCTTCCCGTCTCGGGTGCCGTGTCGGGAATCCCGGGCACGCGGCTCGGACGTCCGTCTCGATGAGCTGCAAATCCCGACTGCTGAACGTGGTCGGCGTGTGCTGTGAGCGCACCTTGCGGGCTTCCTTCCGTGTCGTTAAGTATTCCCCGCACCCCGCTGGTTTCCCACTTCCCCTGCTCAGCCCCTGCTCTTTGCGGGGCTCCCGTTGCGGGATCCCACGTGGGATGCCGGCGCTGTGTTTTATTCCGGTGCTGCATAGCTCAGCTGATGTTGAAAAGAAGTGAGTTGTGCAGTTTTACAGGATTTTAAGGAGTGTTCTGCATTCCAGGAGGAATCCTTTTGTATCCTGGTGACAAACGTGTAATCTGTTGGACTGCTGAAGGTTTGGAATGTGTTTTAAGCTGATATTTCAGTGAAGTGATTGGAAGAGCTGAGAGAGCACGTTTGTGCCTCAGTGTGTTGTTTAACCTTGGTAAAAGTTGATATGAGCTTAAAGTGGGGA